CATCCTATCTAATGATACGTAGTTCACATACTGTAAAAGATGCACTTTTAAGTGCACAGTTCAGTGGTTTGCAGGTAGATTCACATAGTTCTGTAACCATTAGCACTAGTTCTAGAACATTCGCATCACCCCAAAAGAAACACGTGCCCGTTAGCAACATGTTCCGTCTTCTCAGCCCCTTCTTAGGCAACTGCTAGTGTTCTTTGTATACATTTACCTACTTCTGATGTTACATATAAATGGAGTCATGTAATATGTTCTAGTTTCTCCATAATTGCTTTTGCTGCTGGAAGCATAAGCATAAGGAGGTGGGTTCATGCCACGCCTTTCCCCTAACATTTTTGCCACCATCTCTTCTCTTCCCTTCACTGTTACAGAGCCTGATGTTCCTCTCATCCATCCCACTCCCAAGTAGGCTGGCAGAATTGCTACAAAAGATGAGCATTTCCATAGTCTGTCGGAGACAGGGATGCTGTAGCTGTGTCTCCAGGGCACTGCAGAGTTCACTGGTTCTTGCATGGCGTAATGAATGTTCATAGCTGGCTGTGGTGTTACATGCATGGAATCCTAATGTTCTGGGAAGCAAAGGCAGGAAGATCACAAGTTCAAACCCAGCCTGGGCAACCTGGTGAGCCCCTGTCTGAAAATACAAAAGGGGCTGGCCATGGTGGTTCACGTCTATAATCCCAGTACTCAGGAGATTGAGGAGGATTGCCATGAGTTCAAGGCCAGCCTGGGATATATAGTGAGTTTAAGGTCAGTCTGTATTATAAAGCAAGGCCCTGTCTCAAAAAAATGAAAGGACTGGGGGTGCAGCTCAGGACAAAGGTCTTGAATACAGTCTCAGTATTAGAAAAACAAACAAATGAAGGTATGAACAAACCACTCACCTGCATAGCATTCTTTCAGATGAGGGGGAAGGCATAGTTTGAGAACGTATCTAGTGATGAACAGAATGAATCAGTGATTTGAGACCCTTGGCATATCACACCAAGTATTGTCTCCAAGGGCTTTTTAGGCAGTGGTCACTTTGGGGTTTTGGGGGATTTTTTTGGTACCGGGAATCAAACTCAGGACCTTCAGGCTTGCCAGACAGGTGCTTGTGCCACTGAGCCATATCCCCGGCCCCGGGCAGTGGTGACTTTGAACCCTAAAGACTACATGCACACTGGAACCATGTGTGGGGGAGGAGCGAAGAGCATTGCCGCTCATTTTTGCACACAACGGCAGTTGAGGAACTGGATGACTGCTTGTTGTGTGTATAGGCAGATGAGTGGCTGTTTCTGTTTCCTGTCTCTGACATTCCTACCTTCATTTTGAACTGCTTTTTCCGGGAGGGGGTTTGAGACAGGGTTTCACTATGTAGTTCAGGCTGATCTTGAACTTGCTTATGTAGCCCAGGCTGTCTTCAAACTGATCCTTCTGCTTCAGCCTCCCGAATGCTGGTATTACAGACATGTGCCCAGCTGAACACCTGTTTTCAAGAGCTCCAAGGAAAGCCCCATGTTCTTCTTACCCCCAGCATCTAGCATGTGTATTGGTGCTGACCTAGTGAGTGTGTGCCTGTGTTTAGTGGAGGGAGGAAGAAGTCAGTAGCTCCAGCCACATGATCTCTCTATGGGATTCGACCCTGCTGGAGAATTGCTGTGTTGGGGGGTGCATCTCGCCCCTCACCCCCAGATACAGTAAAAATGACTTGTAAAAAATGTGAGCTTAAATATCATGTTTATGATTAAATTGAACATGGATAACATGGCTCAAACCAACTTCTGTAAACATTTCTCAGTATTAGATGAGAAGACTGCCTTCTCCTTGGGCACTGCTCTAGGGGATTCTGTTGGCTACTGAATTGGCAGGCGAGGGAGAGTGGCCACAGACCAAGTGGACCTAAGAAATAGAGAAGGACTTGGAGAGCAGAACAGCAAACAGGGACTGTTTTATCCGGGTGTCCACTGGCTTGGGCTGTGCTGGAGGCCACATCTATTGGCTGTACTGCTTTTCCACTAAATGACAACGTAGAAAGGTTAGAAATGGCACACTGGCCCAGAGGGAAGGGACAAGCCAGGAGCACTTGGCAGTGCAGTACACAAGTCAGTAATCCCCCGCCTCATTTCAGAAAGAGCTCTTCATCACTGTCTTGTCATTCAAACACATCTGAGCACCACTAGGGCTCTGTATTTTCCCTTGCCTAAGAATAGAAATACAATGAAAAGTTAGCAACATTTTAGTAAAACGCTTCTAAAACTGGTCAATAAAATTTGCTGGGGGCAGGTTGTAGGGAGTGACATGTATTGTTTCACTAATGGAATGACATTAGTCATTGCCATCGAGATAACCTTGCTTCTGTTGGGACATTAAATTTCTTAATCTGATGTGCCTGGCATATGTCTGTAATCCCAGCACTCAGGAGGGTCCCAAGTTCAGGCCTAGCCTGGACAGTTTTGTGAGACTCTGTCTCAAAAAAGTAAAGACAAGATGAAGCTTCTCTAATGCAGTTACATTATATTTTGCAGTGCCTCCCAGACATGATTAACAGTACATTCTATTACAATTTTTAAAAGGAGTAGCTTGATCCCGTGGTGATCAAATAATCATAGAAAATAGTACCACTCTTCAATTTGAGAATACTCTTCGTGTACAACACTCATTTAGGTAGGATTAACTTAAGGGGAACTCTTGTGACCAGTAAGAAGAAATTCCTCCCACAGTTGACTGCTAACTTTAAACCAGGTACTTCACCAGGTATGGCTATGCAAGTAGAGTGATTAAAGATATAATTATTAACAGTGTCACTTTCACTGTCAAAATTGTCCTCTTAAATAATTGTTTTACCTACAGAGTTATAGGAGGGGTACAGCTAGAGGATGCTAAAAGGTGTTGACTATATGAGAGACAGAGAAATTTAGTACTGTTTGAATCCTAGGAAGGATGTGGGGATCCTTCACTGGTGTGGAGACAAGAGTAGGCCTATAATCATTTATCTTATAACTGTTAACATTTAGTTCGTGTGCCAGGCGTGGTGGTGCACACCGGTAATCCCAACACTGGGGAGGCCAAGGCAGGAGGATAGCTGTGAGTTTGAGGCCAGCCCAGGGTACATAGTGAGTTCAAGGCCAGCCTGCAGTACAAAGTGAGATCCTGTCTCAGAAACAAAACAAAACTCATTTAGTTTGTGTTAGATGCCACAAAAGTGATATGAAAATACCCTTTATGGGTGTTCAGTTATGGGAGATTTAGGAACTTATTTTTTTTAGATTTAGAAACTTAAAAATAGAGGTTGAACTGCTTTTGTAGATTGAGCAAGGTTTTGTTGCTGGGTTTTTGTTTTTATTTTGACACAAGGTCTCACTCAAACTCTTGGCGATCCTCCTGCCTCTGCCTCCCAGATGCTGGGATTACAGGTGTGCACACTTGGCCCATTCTTAAGAATCTTCAAAACTTATTCAGAAGATAGTGGTGGAAAACCTTGGTTTTTAATTAAAGAAAACTAGTATTTTTATAATTAACTATTAGAACCAAGAAGATTTAGCTGGGCATGGTACCCCACACCTGAAATCCAAGTATTCAAGAGACTGCGACAAGAGGATCATTGTGAGTTCTAGGCCAGCCTGGGCTATATAGTGAGTGCAGGACCACCCTGAACTGTACAGTGAGCCCCTCTCTCAAAAAAAAAAAAAAAAAAAACCTAGAAGATTTGAATATGATATACTTTCTTTGTTATCCAACAGATACTAAAAGGTGAACTAGTCCTGCTAGTTCTTTTTGGAATTTAAATTGTTAATGGTTTAAATAAATCTTAAGAGTAAGATCTTGAAACAGTGGCAGGAAGATTGAAGTTAATGGTGTGTTCTGGGTGTAGGTGTTAGTAGTGTGAGACTCCCCCTAGGTTCTTCATGTTTTTTTAAGAGTAGGAAGAATTTAATGAGAGAAGAAAAGCTTCTCTCTGAGAGGGACAGAAGGGCCCAGAAAGTGGGTTGCCCACCAACCCCACTTCTCAAGGGTATTCTATTGAGCAAAGCCACAAGGTGAGGCGGGCTGAAATTGGGACAGAACTATAACCCATCAATAAGGTTACAAGTATAGTTGGTTAGGTAATATTGATCCAATGGCAAATCATAGGATGGGCGTGAGGCGGGACAAAACTGTGGTCAACCAACAAGATTAGAAGTATAGTTGCTAGGGTAATATTGATTAAATGGGAATCAAATGCCTGCTTAGGTTCTTGACAGTGGCAGAGATACAAGTGAAGATATTAAAATAGTGTTGTGGTCTGATGTAATAGGACTGAGGGAATTCATGGGCTTCACAATAGTTGTAGTTGGTGAGGGAATCCAACTAGTAGGCTTGGAGCAACAGTGGTGCATTAGATCATTTAGAAAAAACCTTAGGGTCATGGCAGCATGATTTATATTACAGTCATGTTTAGAAGTTTAAGAGGCAGAGTTTGTTTTGGATATAACTCAAGAGCACTAGGGTTATGTTCGAGATAGCCACATCAAGGGCCAGTATTTTAGTCAGTTCCTAGTATAGGCTTGGTAATCCAGTGGTTCTGTTGTAGTAGCTACTGGAAAGAAGGCTTCCCTGTCTTTGGCTACCCTGAAGAGTCCTTTACTGTGTAGTCAGTTGTTCTTTTATAGTCATTTTATAGTATAAGTTTTGTTAAGTGTACTTAAATATTATTAATACCTGATCTTGCTTTGAGAGCAAAATCCTGTAAGTTCCTCTGAGAATTCTCATACTAGACAAGGAATAAGCGACATTGTCAGTTTCTTAGTTAAAACCAGGTGCCCTGATCTGAATGGTGACTTGACTTTGGCATCTATAGAGAGAGTAGTCATGTTGAGGGAGGACAGGAGACTGGTAAGCTGAATAGCAATACCATATGAAGTAAAAAAAATTTTTCTTGTATCTTTTCGGAAATTAGTTGAAATCTTTAAAGAGGACTCCCTCTGGAGTGCAGTAAGAATATATAATGGAAGTATCATTTTTATTTCATGCAGCTCAAAGAAGATGAACGGCACCCTGGACCACCCAGACCAACCAGATCTTGATGCTATTAAGATGTTTGTGGGCCAGGTTCCCAGAACCTGGTCTGAGAAGGACTTGAGGGAACTCTTCGAACAGTATGGTGCTGTCTATGAAATCAACGTCTTAAGGGATAGGAGCCAAAACCCTCCTCAGAGCAAAGGTGAGGCCTTTGGGTTTGTGACAGGGTTGAAAGAATTAGGTTTTCTATGTCATTCCTGCCATGTGCATCCTGTCCTTTGTTGCCAGGGTGCTCCTGCGGTCACGTAGGGAAAAAGTCTGTCCTTTTATAGGAGCTGTATTTTCCAAACCACAGTGGCTTAGAGATTAAAAATTAAGGTGGCATTATGAGGATCACTTGTAAATTGGATCTGGGCAGTCCTTTGTGAGAGCTCCAAGTTCCAGAGCCAGACCCGTGGGAGCATCTCCTTTGGTCTTGGAATGGAGTGATAGAACTAAGACTGTTAACCAGCCTCACACAGATAGGTCTGGACTAGAGGAAAGGCGAAAAATCTGTGGGCTGAGCTACAGAGCCCTCACAGGATGTATCTACGAGGAGGGACTTATTTAGGCCGCTGGTTTGCCATAGCCTGCACAGTGAGCAGGGAAGGGAAGACTAAGCTGCTTCCCGAAATAGCAGCCAAGTGGACATTCTGTAGGACTGATAGCGGGTCTGCATATACTCTCAGACACGCTCTCATTTTCCAGTGACCAATTTTAGAGCAACTTTCTGTGAAAAGTGTGCTGTGGTACAAGTGTGAGCAAGCGTGGTCGTCATGTTTGAAACGAGCTTAGGATCCCGAAGTGGGGGAATTATTTTATCTTTCTGGTTTGAGTAACCAAAATTATAAAGTAGCACTGTTTTCAAAGTACTGACTTGATCTTGTATAATCTGGTTTATTTTAGGGTGCTGTTTTGTTACATTTTACACTCGTAAAGCTGCATTAGAAGCACAGAACGCTCTTCACAACATGAAAGTCCTTCCCGGGGTAAGAATGCTCTGAGGGAACAAAACTGTAGTGGTTGTCAGGCATGGACTGTGCTCGCACATGTCAGGCACACGCTGGGAACCGTCTTGAGGAGACAGAGCCACCACAGCAGTTGCTAGAAAGGAGGAAATAAGAATATAAGCTGAAGCTGGTGTGGTGATTCATGCCTGTAATCCCGGCACTTGGGAGGCTGAGGCAGGAGGATTGCCGCAAATTCAAGGCCAGCCTGGGCTATGTTGTTAGTTCAGGAGCAGGCTGAACTATATACAGCAGGACCCTGTCTCCAGAAAAAAAAAAAGAATATGGGCTGAAAGCAGTTCTCACTCTGCCAAGAGTCTTGGCTTCTTGACTCATCTTCTTGCTGTTGTGTTTTGTGGAGAAAGTTCATAAGGCAGATATGAGTTCAGAGAGGTCTCCTAGGGCTTTAATTAGTATCTGTTTGATAGTCTTCATTTCTGGTTTGAATGCTAACCCTGTACTTGAAGGTAGCGTTTGTGGTTGTTCCTTTTCAGATGCATCATCCTATACAGATGAAACCTGCTGACAGTGAGAAGAACAATGGTAAGCAGACAGATCACACCTTCCCCTTAAAAGATTTCTTCTTAGTTTGCTTGCTGCTCTTCATGCGACCTGGATTCAACTGTTCTTTAAGAAATCTGTCACCTACAATTTGGTTTTAATAAGTACAATGCATGAGTGAGAAAAACAGTTGACAGGGAAATGTTACAGAAGCATTTTAGAATGAACTGGGATGTCCTCAGTAAGTGTAATTTCTTATGGACAGAAATGAAGAGGGAGATGAACAAATTGGGAAGGAGAGCTTAGTTTCCAGAAAATCATTTCCTGAGCTCATGCTCAATAAGGACAAGGCCACATTCAGCTCAAGCACTGCAATCTTGAAGCCCAACAGTGCAAAATGGGATGAGTTCCGGCCCTGGCCTCTCCCACGGGTCTGGAGCCTACAGAGAATTCAGACTCCAAGGCTTAACGATAGCAACTGAATAACGTGGCTGCAAAGACATTGACATTGATGGTGGGTGGAGATCTGGGATCATCTTTGTTCTGGTTCCTTAACTGAAATCTTCCCTGAACCCAGTTTGGCTCAGTCTTTCTTGTTTAGAAGAGAATTTGCTGTAAGCAAAATTGAAAACCTATATGAAGACAAACAGGAGCCTCCCAGGAGCCACACCTGACACCTGTGCCCTGTGTGCTTTGAAGACATACGTGGTCTCCAAGTGAAAATGTGGGCAAGAGAATTCATGTGAGGCTGGGTGCCAGTGGCTCTTCAGGAGTCATTTGGACAAAGCACAGCAGAACAGTGTGGAACGTCAGCCAAAAGTTCTTACTGTGTCTGTAAGAAGCACACAAAAGCAAGGATGTTAATTTTGAATTCCCAGAGTTGCAGTTGGAAACAAAAACAACTATTCAGAGTAGAAAGAAAGAAAAAAAAGAAAGTAGATGTTCTATGCACTGAAAAGTGTCTTCTATATTTTTGGTTATAACAAGTTTGCAAACTTCTTCTTCCTTTCATAGTATTGCTAGAAGGGGCAAATGTACTAAATAGTAGGCAAGATGAGAAGTCGGGTGTGGTGATGCACACCTGTAATCCCAGCACTTGAGAGGCTGAGGCAGGCGGATCATTTCGAGTTGAAGACTGCATAGCGAGACCCTGTCTCAAAAAGACAAAAAAAAAAAGAGAAGTAATTTGCATTTAATACCTACAATTGCTCTTAGAGGCATTAGGGTTATCTTTATTAATCACATGAGAAAGCCAGCACAAATTAGTCAACTTTTAACAAGAACCCAAACCTACCTACTTCATCTAAATACTTACAATTACATGTAATTTTAAGGTAGCAGTTGTCACAAGAGGAGATGTAAAGTTACACAGAAAAAGGTGTCTTGGAATCTGAAATTAGGGTATGCGGCAAGAGCCAGGATCCCCATGCCAGGTAGCCTGGCTCCTGCGTCTGCGCTACCCTGCCCCTGAGTATCAGTGTTGAAGCATTTTGTGTTTTACTCTCTTAGCAGTGGAAGACAGGAAGCTGTTTATTGGTATGATTTCCAAGAAGTGCACTGAAAATGACATCCGAGTCATGTTCTCTTCATTTGGACAGATTGAAGAGTGCCGGATATTGCGGGGACCTGATGGCTTGAGCCGAGGTGGTATACTTCCAGCTTTTAAAGATGCTTGTCTTAGGGCTGGGGATTTAGCTCAGCGGCAAAGCGCCTGCCTGGCAAGCGCAAGGTCGTGAGTTTGGTTCCTGGTACCGGAGAAAAATCAAAAAAAACAAACAAAGATGCTTGTCTTAAATTTAGAGTTTGTGTAATTGGACCACTGGAAATCAAATTCTTGCCCCACACCGCCCCATCCCCACTTTGGTACCCCTTCACGGTGAGGAGGTTGGGCCTGTTGCTTCCTGCTGGACCATTGATGTTCTTGGGAGTCTGCTACCACCCTGAAGGAATCACACTGTGTGTTTCAGTGTCATTTATTAGAATGTTCTCTGTGTGCTTAGAGGATCGCAATGCCAGATGGAAGCATTTCTTACCTTTTTTTTTTCTTTTCTAGAGGAATGTGAGGATATGATTCCTTCTTCCTCCTTTGAGCACATTCTAACCTGTGTACAATTCCCTGGTTTTTCATTCTAGTACTTACTATCTCATTATGATATACCTAGCTCTTCTACGGGCTTATAAGCCCTTGAGACCAGGGACCACATTCATGTCACTAGCATGATAGTGGCATGAAATAGGTGCTCAAATCAGTGTCTGTGAGGTAAACCACATTTCCCCCAAAATAAAACTGGATCTTATATTAATTTTTGGTCCAAAAGATGCAGTAGGGCTTATTAATCTTTTTTATGTACAACCATTACATTTATTCACGTATAGAAATCTTAATTTAAATACAGTCATATCCTCTTGTAGAATATCATCATAGCTCTCCAAATGCTGAGTTCTGGCCTGAACTTTATGCGACTCCATTTGCTATAGAACCCTTGGCCCCCATCTCTCATGGGCTACAATAGTGCGTTCCTTAAGTGCCTTCTTGTCCATGTGGCCTGCTCGTAGTGCTCTGGCAGCACAGGGGTCAATGATTTTATCCCAGGAATTCTTCACTCAAGTCCTGACGGCTTGCAGGCTGGGCTTCGCAAAGTTTCTGTTAAATCAAGTGTTAGTTGAAGACTTACGAGACAGAAATAGGAGCAACAAGACAGTTAAGAATGATGGACCACACAAAAGTGACAAAAAATTCCAAGTGCCAAAATTCAGAAAGCATTTCACATGAATGCACTAAATAATTCTGTTACAACGTGTGAGATAAGAATTATGAAGATTCATGTTTGATAAAACAGTATGTCCATTACCAAGAGCACATGCTATTCTTGTGTTGTGTCTGTACTCTGGTCATTTGGCAGTAAGTCTCCAGTTCATCTGTTTCCATAGGCCTTTACCTCTTGTCCGAAGGCACCAGCTTGGGTATTTACAAATACTTACAGTATCATTTAGTTTAAGTGTTAATGTCAAAAATATTATTTATTTACATTTACTTTTATATTAATATTATTTTGTAATTAGGTATGTCCATCATGTGTTGCAACAGGCATACCGAATGCATCCCTCTGTCTGATGATCTTAACCGGGCTTATTTTGGGGTAGGGCTTATAAACATCCCAAAAAATCATGCTAGGGCTCGTTTTGTTTTGTCTTCTTTTGGGGGAAATACAGTATAAGCAAGTGAATGGATGAGTTACTGACTTCTCTTACCAGGTTGTGCATTTGTGACTTTTACAACAAGAGCCATGGCACAGACAGCTATCAAGGCAATGCACCAAGCACAGACTATGGAGGTAGGGAGCACATAGGTGAAAGGGGAAGGAAATCACTGAGCTTGAGGGTGCAGACGGTTGGCCATCAGGGTCCTGCTGCTCGCATATTATTGAATTGCCTTAAACCTTAGATAGCCAGTCTTTCTCAAGGCTAAAAATCGGTGCTTTCTTTAAAATTAACATCCTGGACTAAGTATAGTAGTGTGTGCCTGTAGTCCCCTCTTCTGAGGAGACTGAGGCATGAATGTCACGTGTCTTCAAACCTAGGAGTTTGAGGCCACACTGGGTAACGTAGGAAGATCCTACCTCAAAAAAATAAATCCATAAACAGATAAAAGTAATATACTAGAGATAGTTGCCCCTTTAAATTTTTTTTTGCCACATACTTATCAGGAGGAGGGATCTTTGCCAGGAAGTGAAATAAAAAATATAGCCTGCATGTTATCTAAAAGAGATTTTGTGCTTCGTCCAGAAGGATTTGACCCCTAGTTTTGCTTTTTCCTAGGGCTGCTCGTCCCCTATGGTGGTGAAGTTTGCTGATACGCAGAAGGACAAAGAGCAGAAGAGAATGGCCCAGCAGCTCCAGCAACAGATGCAGCAGATCAGCGCGGCGTCTGTATGGGGGAATCTTGCTGGGCTGAACACTCTTGGACCCCAGTACTTAGCAGTGAGTCTTTATGGTGTGCTTTCTGCAGGCTGTGCAAGCTCCCAGCTGTTTCTTCTGCTGTCCCTCGCTGACAAACACAGTGGCATTTACAACTTCTGGCGTAGAGAGAGATTCTGTGCAAAAATTCAGGCACTGTGATGTCCTTTAAGTCACACTGGTCTGTCAGCATTTCTCACTCTCCCTGTCATGTGTCTTCAGCTATATCTTGAGGGTTTTCCTACAGTTTTAAAGTGAAATCTTGATGATCCCATTTAAAGATTCTGAAATGTCTCATTTTTTCCTGACTCCAAGAGAAAAATCTCTGAGGGAATCTTAACTACCTACCAAGCGTCATTCCCATATCTCTTTCACCACAGGCATAGGGCATTATCATAATCCTTGTTGAGTCTTCTCCCAAAAGCATAATAAATGTTTCTGTCAGTGGACTGAAAGGTAAAGAGATGAATATGAGTATTATTAAATGAGAATTATAGGCATATATTTGAGTTCACCACATTGTGAATAGATTTTCTTTGACTTGATCTCTCTGTTGAGTTTGAGTCACATAGAATAAAAGGAGTTCCAACTGTAATTTGTTACTTAGATTGAGTCAGTTTTCAATATGTGACATAGATGATTATTACTACTGCTTTAATCCTTCGAAGGATTGCACCTAGCACAAGAACTGAAACTGTCTTGTCTTGTCTTGTTTGCTCTTTGAGACAGGGTCTTACTGTGTAGTTCAGGCTGGCCTTGAACACACTATGTAAAGCAGGCTGGCCTTGAACTTGAGGTGATCCTCCTGTCTCAGCCTCCCGGGTGCTGGGATTACAGGGATGGGCCACCATGCCCGGCTGCCTGGCACTGTTCATGAGTCAAAAAAAAAACACAAAAACTCGGCTCATCTCTGAAGCTGTAACTGGTGAAACCACCAAGTTCACACTAGATAGCCTACAGATACCCACATAGGAATAACTAGTGCCATCATGCAGTCCTCATTGTTTCAGATCCTGTTTACTGTAGACAAAGAAAAGGTAATGATTTCTCTTCCACAGTGCTAAGTTTTATTTAATTTGATACTCCCTGGTTTCTGTATTTCTATAACCCTAGAGAAGTCCCGGCTTATTGTGCCTTGTATTTCTCGCAGAAAATTCACAAAGGTTTTGAATCTCTTCTTAGGGGTGTTTATATCACTGTCATACTCAGCACGCACACAGTGATATGTATTGAGGCTTGTGGTCTCTTTCAGTTAGAGACCTGCCCTAAAAGCTGTTTGTTTGTTCGTTTGTTTGTTTTTAAGACAGAGTCTCACCACATAGTTCAGGCTGGCCTGGAACTCACTATGTGGCCCAGGCTGGCCTCAAACTCACAGGTACCCTCCTGCCTCAGCCTCCCAAGTGCTGGGATGTATGCCACCATGCTGGGCAAAGCTGTTCTTATTTAGGAAGGAGATGGGCTTGCCTTGTCCAGTATGTGAAGTCCACCACTTGGGACTGAACCCTTTGCCCAGGGTATTTAAGAAGACAGCAGTAAGCCAGGCTTAGGTGGGAGGATCATTGCAAGTTCAAGACCACCCTGGGCTACAAGGTGAGCTCAAGGCCAGCTGAGCTGCATAGTGAGACCTTGTCTCAGAAAGACCAAAAAAAAAAAAAAGCAGTGAGGACGCACAGGTGCTATAGGACTGCATACGTGGCGGCACATCATCATTCCTCAGGAGACTGTTCAGACTTGTGTCTTTGTGGGGTTGTGGACACCTTTTAGAAGTGAGAAAGAGCGTGACATAGTGGCACGTGTCAGTAATCCTAGCTACTTGGAAGGCCTAGGCAGAAGGATTGTGAGTTTGAGGTCAGCCTGGGTAATGTAGTAAGCTCCTGTCAAAAAAAAAAAGAAATGGTAAAAATGATTTGCATTGTTGTCATTCATTGTCCTTCTGAAGGTTAACCTGAAATCTGTTGGTAAACTCCGCCCTACAGAGATTCAGGACCCGGGTCATATGTCTGTAGCAATGGGAAACGGGTCAAGTAAGGATCTGGTACAAGAAAACTGATTTTCCATTAGGAACAGCAGTTGGTTGTGAATGCAGTTGGAGCAAAGGTTTTCATTAAGTTAATTGGATGAAGGCTGTAGCTTGCCAAGTGACAGGAAGGTCAGAGAGTTCTAAGCTCACAGACAGACCCCCTGGTTTTACTCATGACGGAAATAGTCACTGAAAGAACATACACCAAACTCGGTGTAGACTGACCTGTCCATCATTTGGTCATCTGCAGCTAGGAAGACACGTCTGGAGGAGAGGAGCTAAACAGAGCTGCATCAGTAGGGTGCTTGGGAGCCCTGATTAGTCGTGGGTGCATTGTAAGTGGTCAAAGATAACACCAAGAAGTACTATAAAATGTCAGATGTGATATTTAAAACTGGTGTGGACTAGAAATTGGGTATCCAGATGGACACAGTTTGCAGAATAAGATGTGTTGGCCTAAGAAAGGAGAATTTAGGAGAGAAACCAGAAATGTAGTCATCCGTATGCAGGCACTGATGGCAGTCAGCTGTGCCGCTGTGTGAATTTAGTTTCTGTCCCTGTGCCACTTTTGTCCTGTGCTGTGCACTGCGTGGAGACTGGCACGTGGTTCGGTGTCTGTTGAACGTGCTCTCTTCCGGCCTAGTGCTTTTGCTGTATTGTCCTGTCCTGCGCTGTCACGAGGCTCGTGTTTCTGTCATGTCAGCTTGGGGTCTCGTCTCGGACTTTCCTCTCTGGGGGCCTCTGCACTCTCGCTTTGCTGTGCTGTAGAGTTATCCCAGATGCAGAACCAGCCCTCACTCTCACTCTTGTTCTGTTTTTTGGTGTAATGTCTAGCTTTATTTGCAGCTCCTTCAGCAGACTGCCTCCTCTGGGAACCTCAACACCTTGAGCAGCCTCCACCCGATGGGAGGTAAGTGTCCAGTGCCGTGGAGGAGCAGCAGTGCCCAGGCCAGCAGATCCAGCTGCCAGTGGGCTGAGAATCTCACAGTGTTTATGCAAAAGCAGAATGAATAAACAAAACAAAACCGCTAAGATGACTGTCCCAGGACTCAGCTGTTTCGTCTCTGTAAGGTGGCTCTGTTGCTAGTTGATGTCATATTGCTCCGAGGGGTGCTGCTGCCTACTGCCTTCCTAAATCACTGTTGAGGAAGAAGGTGGAAAAGACGTGTTACACCTGGGGGCAGCTGAGGCCATTCTGATGAGTAGGAAGCGCAGAAGCTTTCAGCCAAGGATGGCCTCCTTGCAGACGGCTGCTTCTGAAGCCGCTAGGACCCGGGCAGTGAGCACAGCGTGTCGCACACGTGCTGTTTCACGGGCCCATGTCTGGATTTACAGTGACTTGGGTCCATGGACGGACCTGAGCCAGGGCTCCAGCGCTGCCTGTACCGTGTCTTCTGTCTGGGAAAGCGAGGCACTGCATTTGAGAAAAGGAGAGTCTTTAGTGAACTGTGTTTTGCAGTGTGAACATTTTTAATAGTGGTTCACTTTGTCCTGGGAAGTTCAGCTGGCTGTGGTGTGGGAAAGTTGCTAGATTGTAATGGACACTGTGTTTTCACTCTCACCCCCTCAGCCTGCCCCTTGCCCACAGTCCGCCTTTCCAAGGCAGTGACTGGCTTGCAGCATCTATGGCACAATTCACATTTCTTTGTCTCCCCTGAGCTGTCACCTCGATTCTGTCTGCAAGTCTTTGCCTAAGTGTTCTCTCTTCCGCTGATGATTAATCTGCTATTCAGGTGCCGAGGTTTTCTTTATTCTTTGTGATATTGCTGTTCTCGTCTGCACTCTCTCCCATCATTCCTCTTGGGTCTTCTGGGAACAGTCTCTTCTGCCCTTTCTGCTTCTCCTTCACTGCACAGAAATCCCTGGAAAGTTTGAGTGAAGCCTTGGACACAGTCCCATTCTGCACCTTAGCATCAGGCGTTGTTCCCTGGGATTTCTGGCCTGCAGTGGAGCACAGACCTGCTCCTCCTGTGATTTCCTACCTGCCCACCCCAGTATCAGTGCTCACCTGAGGTGTGATGCTGCTGTGTCAATTAACTCTTTTCTGAGAGGTGATTTCAGATTTCTTCTCATTTATTGATTGGTACTAGGAATTGAACCCAGGACCTTGACACTGAGCTACATTCCCAGCCCTTATTTTTTTATTTTTTGAGACAAGGTCCGACTAAGTTGCTCAGGTTGGACTCTACCTGAAATCTTCCTGCCTCAGCCTCCCACAGTGCTGGGATTATAGGCACGCACCCCCACCCCTGACCATGTCTGCATCATTTTTGGAACCGTGTGATAATGCTTATAAGGCTCATCTAGAACAGTTGCTTCTGCCGCCATCACTGGAGTGGATATCGGCCAACCTTACCTGCTGGCTGACTCTTGGCTTTGGTTGTTGCAGGCCTCAATGCGATGCAGTTACAGAATTTGGCTGCATTGGCTGCTGCAGCTAGCGCAGCTCAGAATACACCCAGTGGTACCAATGCTCTCACTACATCCAGCAGTCCCCTCAGCGTCCTCACCAGTTCAGGTAAGCGTGGCACAGGCGCCACCATGCACTAGGCGCCTCAGACAGCTCTCCTCTGTCATGTTGTGTTATCCTGGAAAGGGATGGTGCCTTCTCCAGAGGGGTGCGGCTACCAGCTGCAAGTGTTCAGATGTCATACCCTGGCTTTAATTTTCAGTCTGTTACCATTATCATTGGTCTCTGGCCTACAAGGACAGTTACGAGAATGGAAAACCTGTTTGCAAGTAGAATCCCTGGGTAGAATCACTCTTAAGCATCGGTTCCTATTATAGAATGAGACAAACGATGGCTTGAAGATTTTTTAATTTTTAAATTATATTTTATTAGTACATGTTTGGAGTACATAACGATCACATTTATCATGGGGCAGAGGTTTGTACACTTACATAACACATGAGAATTTTTCCCATCTGTCCAAGATCTCTCCATCTCTTGTTCCCCTTCCTATTTGAAAAAGATCTCCATGCTTCCTATTATCTGTCTTTTATTTAGTCTTTTTTTTTTTTTTTTTTTTTTGACTTTTGAGACAGGGTCTCACTATGCAGTTCAGGCTGGTCTTGAGCTCACTTTGTAGCCCATGCTGGTCTCGAACTCTCAACAGTCCTCTTGCCTCAGCCTCCTGAATGCTAGGACTACAGGCGTGCACCACCACGCCCGCCCTGTTTGGTCTTAAAGAGGAACCTTGTGATACTTAAATTTGTGTATCTGGGTTATTTCACTTACTACTATGGTCTGGAGGTGCATCCAGTTAGCTGCAGATGCCTCAGGGTTACCCTTCATGGGTAGAGTAGTACTTCACTGTATATAAACCCTGCATTTGCTGTATCCTTTCGTCTGTTGATGGGCATATTGGCTTTTCCAAGGCTCAGCTATTAGAGATGGCTTGGGTTTAACTCCTGGATTTCTAATAGCAGGGTCCTCACCCAGCTCCAGCAGCAGTAATTCTGTCAACCCCATAGCCTCACTTGGAGCCCTGCAGACACTCGCTGGAGCAACAGCTGGCCTCAACGTTGGCTCTTTGGCAGGTAAGGGGGAGCCCTGGTTGTCACCAGATCATTCCCTGTGTAAGGAGCATATCTTGGCCCACCTAGGTAGTGCTGCCACTAGAATAATTTCAGTGGTCCGGATAGTTAGCAATACTAATGGGATTTAAAGTCAGACCTGAGTCAGTCCCCCTTCTCTTCATCTGAGAAGCAGCAGTGAGACTACCTTGGAGGGTGCTGAGGGAGCTCAAGCTCACTGAGAACAGAGGGAAAGCATTGATGAAAACGTTCCTTGCTTCAGAGATTAGCCTGGTGCTTAGTCGGGAGGATGAAAACAGTGAATGGTAGTTGCTATTTTGATGATGGAGTGAACGCACATCTTCTCATCAAGGGATCCACATGTACCCTTTTAGTCCTCAGTCCTGAAACCCTTATTGTACCACATCCCGCCTCTGTATGAGAAAGTGGTAGAACAGCCAAAGAGGAGATGGAGCCAGGCGTGTGAATGGTGTTGGTTCTTCCACCCGTTGCAGGAAGCTGCTGGAGAGAGCCACACCTGAGGGTGGTATTTATTAATGTCCTAAACTCTAATCAGGTGGAAGGGTGAACTGTTGGCGGGTATCTCTAAGTATACCCATCTTTGGCTCTGTGGAGCTCTTCAGAACATTAATCCGGCTCTTCCTCAACCAAGGGATGGCTGCTTTAAATGGTGGCCTGGGCAGCAGTGGCCTTTCGAATGGCACCGGGAGCACCATGGAGGCCCTCACCCAGGCCTACTCTGGTATCCAGCAATATGCTGCTGCTGCACTCCCCACCCTGTACAACCAGAACCTGTTGACACAGCAGAGTATTGGTGCTGCTGGAAGCCAGAAGGAAGGTGAGTGTCAGTGAGCCAGGGGTCGGGGTCCGGCTGTCCCCTTTGCATCAGAGTTGGGAGGCAAGGAAAGGCTGGGGGACCCTTGGAGGCGCTCAGACCTCTGTTGGGAGTAGACTGAGAGGCTCTGGAAAGTGCGGTGTTTTTCGACAGAAAGATACTGGCCACCCTGTGTTTGCCATCATTAGACACTAATCTGTTTTGTTAGGAAGCCTTCTGTCTGGGTCATAGATCTGTCAGAGGCTTTGCTATGGAATTTCCTTGCTTTCTGACATATTTTATCCTCATTGAGGAGAAACGGGTGATGGGACAGAGCTGGAGCCAGTGGGTTGGCAGAATAGGAAATAGGTCCTTTGACATAGGAAATAGGTCCTTTGACGTAAGTGGAATTAAATTCAGGAGAAGCTGTCTAGACAAGGCTTGACAGTAGTGTGTAGGAGAGAGAGTCCTGGGGACCCCTGGGCACTCTTACTGGAGTTTTGTTTTGTTTTGTTTTGTTTTGTTTTGTTTTGTTTTGTTTTATCACCATGCAAGGTTTAAGCACTCATGTAGGAAAGAGACAAATACCTACTTGGCCGTAGTAGCAAGAAGTGCTGCTCTGTCATTCCTTACCTGCCTGAGAATTGCATACTTCCCAGTCCTGGAGGTGTGTTGGTGGAGGCTTCTCCTAAACCATTTTATTTATTGTTTTGGGATAGGATCTCATTGTGTAGTTCAGGCTGGCTTTGAACTGAGTATGTAGTGCAGGCTGCCTGCCTCAGCTTGCTGAGGGCCGGGATTACAAGTGTGCCAGCCACACCCAGCTGTAAACCAGTATTTTAGTGGCGACTACAGAGACAGTAAACAGCAAAAAGCATGGGCTACTTGAGCTGGTTCTCTACATTGTCCCCAGTGCAAAAGGGGTAGGGAGCACGAGAGTCACTGCTCCTTCTGCAGAATGTTCAGAGCAGCTCTTGAAGGTGACATTTCACTCGGGATCTCACGGAAGCAAGCCAGGAACCGCAGGTGCAAAGGCACTGCGGCGGCAGTCTTCTGGAGAATAGCTGGATAGGTGTAAGTGGTTAGAAGAAGAAAATGTATTCAGTTTTTGTGCTAAGTATTAGTCATAGGCTGTTTTTCAAAGGTGATTTCCTTTTACCAGAGTGTAGTTTACATATGGTTAATTCACCCACTTTTGTATACAGCTCAAAAGAGCTCTGGTGAGGCAATCCTGTAGCTGCCATCAAGCAAATTAGACATTTCCATCACCCCAGGAACTCCTTCCAGCCCCTCCTTAGACATTGACTGAGCTCATTCCTGCTTCTAGCCACGACCACACCCTTGCTCTCCCTGGAGTTCCTAGGCACAGTTTTGGAACCTGCTTTCTTCCCCACCCCACCCCACCCCCGGTACCAGGAATCGAACTCACGACCTTGCACTTGCCAGGCAGGTGCTGTGCCGCTGAGCTAAATCCCCAGCCCCTGGAACCTGCTTTCATTATAACCTCTTCTAGTTCCTCTCTTCCATGGCTGCTGGTCTCTCTCCCTGCTCCACCCATGCCTGCCTGCTTCCTGTCCCAGCATCCTGCCCACTGGCCAGTAGAGCCCCACCATCCTTGGAACCTACCTCAGCACAGCAGGAGGCATTTTTGTGGTGATTGTGCTTTGGGTCCCTTCCTGGTGCTTGGAGAATTTCTTTCCTTCCCCCAGAGGTTGTGTGTGTTGACTGTGACAGTTTAGCGTAGGCGGGGGTGAAGAGCCATCGGCACAGGGTGGTGAGCATGCTGGCACTGACACTTTCCATCTGTGGATATTTTGAAGGTCCAGAGGGAGCCAACCTGTTCATCTACCATCTCCCCCAGGAGTTCGGAGATCAGGACCTGCTTCAGATGTTTATGCCCTTTGGGAATGTCGTGTCTGCCAAGGTTTTTATAGATAAGCAGACAAACCTGAGCAAGTGTTTTGGTACGTTGACTTCTCTTCTGGTGTCGGGTTCAATGAAGTAGTTTACTGCTGAGAGAGAAAACAGGACTTGCTGTTACGGTAGCAGAACAACTTGGAGTTGCGATTGGGCTTTGTTCAGCTGGCCTTGGGCAGCTCAAGTGACCTTTTCCTGAGCCTCAGGTTTCTAACATCTGGAGTGGAGATGATGTCTGCTCACAGCTCTGCTCTGGAGGGAAAAATAATGTATGAAAAATGGCTTGCAAAGAAATGGGGCTGTGTAGGTGGCTGTGTAGCTATCAGGTGGCACTGTTAGGGATTAATGTATTTCTTGTGCTATTTCCAGAGTTTTGTCCTTGCTAAGAAAAATTGGGACCTGTGACTAACTAAGGCGTCTATCTCTGGCATAAGGAGGACTGAGGCCCCCCTTGCTCACCCTGGGTTTCTGCTTGGACACAGGTTTCGTAAGTTACGACAATCCTGTTTCGGCGCAAGCTGCCATCCAGTCCATGAACGGCTTTCAGATCGGCATGAAGCGGCTCAAAGTGCAACTCAAGCGTTCGAAGAATGACAGCAAGCCCTACTGAGTGCTCCCCTCTGAGACTGGAGTGAGAGGGTCTTCTGGTAAGTGGGGGAGGAGCACCCTTAACGATTCGAAGCCCCGAGGCTGTGTGGGCAGCCCCGACCCTGATCCCTGCCACTCTCGCAGGCACGGCTTGCCCTGAAGACTCGGCTACGGCCTTCTGTGGGAGTTTCGCTTCGTACAGAGGACGAGTTTGTGCTTTGGTTTCCAGTATTTTACTTTGGAGTTTAGGTGCCATATTCTGAGATTTTTTTTCCCCCCTTTATTTAAAAGTTTGCCGTGTTTGTAACCAGTGTGTGTTGAGATGGACCAACATCAGACTGCCCTGGGGGTGGGAGAATGGGGAAGTATTTTTCAAAGATGAAGATCAGGATTTGACCCAAATCACCCCAAGAGAGAGGACTGAGTGGAAAAAGCATGACCCTTAGAGTGTCCCCGAGTGCATAGCGGGGGTGCTTTGGAGGAGAGGCAGGTGACCTGACACCTAGTGTCGTGCAGCCGCAGGCGGAAGCTGCTTCACAGCTGCCTCCCATGGAAATATACTGAGTTTCTGCCACCTATTTTTCAAATTCTTGTCCTGGATTTCTGCCCCTCTTTCCTAAAAGGGGGTCAACAATTCTCTGGAAATAAAGTACCTCTTAAATTAACTGATTTATGCAAAAAGCAGGGAGACATCACCCATTCCTGGCCTTCAAGCCTCCGTTGGTAGTGGATTGCCCTGCCTGGCTGGTGGCTGTTGGGAGAAGCACCCAGGAGGTCATTCTTAGTTACATCAACATCAGATTAGACCCTGGCCCATTTCCAGCAAATCCCCTTTTTAAAAAGGCCTCTGTGCAAGACATTGCTGGGTCTCTTTCCTTAGAGTCCATTCTAAGCCACAGTTTTCTCTGAGGGCAGATCTGCTGGGTGTGCTCTGGGCAGTGATCAGGAGCCACCTCGTTGTGAGGGGAGGAGCCTGTGCCTTGGTGTCCTGAGCCACAGGGTCCCTTCAGGCCCGGCTGTTGTGTTGACCGCAGCCAGGCCTCATACAGAGGGAGAGGCAGAGATACGCACTTCTCCTCGACTCAGTTGAGGTGTCCCAGAGGTAGTATCCCACAGTTATGGCACACGCCTCCGCCAGCCACGCCAGTCCCATCTTCTGCTCTTGGGGACAGAGAAACAACAGCACGTTTACAGCCTCTGGATGGATTTAGTGTTCATTTACCTCAGTATTACTCTGTTCATTGTTGTCCTCGCGCTTAGTTAGCTGCCCACTGCCTCCCACAGGCCTCGCTCCAGCTCAGGCCTCTGGGCTGTGCCTCTGCTCCGAGAAATGCTGTGGGGTGGGAGCTGCAAAGACGTGCTGTTGGTGGGGCTTCCCTGGCAGTCGCCTGTGGAGGGGACTGGGTGCCCAGGCCCCTGGGAGCTTACCCCGCCCTCACCAGTAGGAGTCGGCCCGACCACGGAGAGCACGGGGAAAGGGCCGTTTTGCTGTAACTCAGAAGGGGCGCTCTCCCTGCCGTGCTGTTCCTGGGGTAGCAGCCAGGGCTGACCGTCTTGCTGCAAACTGGTGGTACTGGATTATCCCACTGGAGCAGGGACGGCCATCCCTTCTTGTAGTGATAACTGGGGTCTGTTGTCCTCTGAGAAACGTGAAACGTACCCATCTTAAGCGGACCCACGTAAACTTGAATTCTGCACACTGGGAGAAATGTGTCCTGTGTTTCAAAGGAGAAAACTGTTCTAAAGGCTTCCAGGGTCATGATGGGATTTTTTAAATAAATGCAAAAAATAAAAAGAAAAAAGAATACAAAAAAAAGGAAAAAAAAGAAAAAAAAAAAGAAAAAATGCTAGGTTGGGGGAGACGCTGTTCTGAATCCCAACCGGCTGGAACCAAGAATGTTGTTTCTATTTTTATAGAAGTTTTATACAGCTCCGGGGTGGAGAATATTTATTACCTAAATTATATCTCTGGAAAAGGCCAGGATTTTATAGAATCCAGAATGTGATTGTTGTACACACAGGGTGCTGTGTATGATTGAAACTACTGACTTTCTGTGGCGTTCGCAGCCCGGCTAACCTGCCCGAGGGGAAGGCATTAATGCTGTGAATTGGCAGAGGAGAGAGCTGTGCTCTCCGGGCGCTGCCGGCGCCGTGCTCCCGACCTTCTGTTCTATCTTCCTCTTTGGCCAGAACTCTGCGGCCGCTCCCCCTTCCTCCACAGCCCTGTCTCACCAGTGCCCAGGGGTTTGTCCTGGGCACAGGTGCAGCCTGTCACCTTTGATCCCGCCAAGGCCCATACCCACTCGCATTGTCCCTTCTGAAAGGAGCACCGGCCCCTGGGGCCCTGGCTGCGCAGGCAGCCCGCGGGCCAGACCAACACCAACACCGTGGACCCCTCCGCCCAGCGTGTCGCACCGCAGCGGCACTGCCCTTGAGCACAGTTCTCTCCTGGGCCAAAGATGGTTTTGTGAAGAAGCTGCTCCCCTCTGAGTCTCACAGCGTGAGAGGGCTCAGCCCGGAGAGTAGAGACTCACAGCCAAGTCTTAAGCAATCCTTTTCTGTCGTGGAGGTGTCACTTACAATGTGCTTTCTGCTGTAGTTTTGTTTCTTCCTTGGGTTACATCATGAAATTGATTTGCCTTGAATGTGGCCAGACCACTATCTCCTGGGTCCCACACAAGTGGCCAGGGCCGGTGTGGAAGCTAAGAGCTTGGATTTCTGGGAACCAAGGGCTCTCCCCGTAGGTTGAAGCAGAAATCCCAGCTCTCCCTGCTGAAGAACCGCCCCCCACTCCCAGCCTGCATCTCTGCCTCCTCCCTGGGAGAGGAGAGGTGGGGCCCACCCCCAGAGACCTCCTCCTCCACCACTGGGCACTTCGAGGGAAATCCAAGCCTTAGGTTCCCTCTGTCTCTGGCAGCTGGATGTTTTCTTGGTGTCCTCCGTGTCCTTTTTGACTCTTCCCTGTGTCCATCGTTAGCATGTGCAAAGTCCCCTGTCATCCCGTCCCGCCCCGCCCCGCCCTGCTCCTCATTTCAGGGCTGTCCACACAGAGTGTCCTGTTCTCTCTCTCTGTTTGGATGTATTGCTCTGTGTAACTCAGTGGGTCTCCCTCTTTCTGGTTTGTTTTTTTTTCTAGATTCCTGCCGTTTGTTCATCGTTGTGCCTAAAGCATGTCGATGTGGCGTCAAGTACATCGTCCAAATCCCTGTCTCTTCAGCTTCTCTGATGCTTGAACTCTCACCTTTGACCTTGTGTTGACCTTTGATGCTGACGTGTATTTTTATTACATTTGTTTCTTTCTTTGTTTTTTCTTTTTTCTTTCCTATTTTTTTTTCTTTTCCTTTTTGTGCTGCCAAAATTGGTTTTGCTAGAACGACTGCTGAAGGGGAAATATTTAAACTTGCATTTGAATATAAAAAAATCTATTTTTCTAGAACTTCATAAGATAACCACTTGATTTTGTGATTCCAATTCTTTGTAATCGTCTTCAGAGCAGCCCTACTAGCACATACCGCGTGGTGTTTGTGTTTCCGTGAACACACAGCCAGTCCGTTTCTAGGCTTTGTTTCTGTGTGCTTAGTTTTAAAGACAACTTTGAAGTAAACAATGAAATAAAGGATGTCACTAAAACCTTTGAGGCTCCTGAGCACATTTTGCTGATACAGCTTGTGGGGCTTGAGGAGACCGCATGTGTTGTTGTTATTTTTGTTTTTCTGAGTTCTCGACTGCAGAACACACCCGAACCCCTCCTCTTCGACAGCAGGCTGCAGTTTGGGCCCCTGCCATCCCTTTTCCTTTTCTTCTGTGGTCTTCCTTGGGGGTGACCCTGCCGGGTATCCAGGACCCCGGCCATCCCTCAGCCCCGGCTCACCTCATGCTTATCCTGCAGTCTCCACAGCAAAATGTGATGCTTTGATCTTTTTGTTTTTGTATTGTTTTTGTGTTTTTATTTTGAGTATTTTTTCCCACTAAGATTATGCTCAGAAAAAAACAAGTTTTGCATGTTTCCTGCTATTTCTTCACACCTCCGTATATATCACCTTCACCTCTCTGTTTTCTATAGTTTGTGCAAAAACTGACCGATTTAAAAGGGTTTCAAAGAAGCTGTTTTAAATTGTTGTGGGGTTGATTATTTTTTTCAAGATTGTACTGTTTATTTTGAAGTGGCAACTCACTCCTCTATTGCCCGTAGAGCGTGTCCTGTGCACTTAGACTGTCACCTCGTGTGGCGGCAGGTCTCGGCAGGGTGCCGGGGACCTGGGCCACTCTGCCTGGAGGGGTGGGGAGGGGAGGGGAGAGGAGAGGAAAGGAGGGACCTGGACAGGCAGGGTGACAGAGACAGCGTGAAGGGGCTGAGGGGCACAGGAGGCCAGTGTAGGACCAGCACCCAGCGGGGGGGCGCCCTGACGCTGAGGGGGAGGGGCGCCCGCGCACGAAGTAGCCTGCCCGCGCTTTCCTAGGCGACAAGCACAATACCAGTCTTCACACTGTTTACACCCCTGAGCACCGCCCGCCCCAGCCGGCTCTGCCCTGCCTGGGTACTGGGGGAGCCAGGGCGGGGACTCGTTTTCTTCATTGGGTGAAGAGCCACATAGCTACTGCCCCTGGGTGCCGGGCCAGCCAGTGCTTGGGCTCCCGGAGGGGAACTTCCCCTCTTCCCCTGTGACTCCGTCCAGCTGCGGGGTCTTGGGACTTGAGGAAGAATGTGAAGGGAGGGGGAGAGGCCAGAGGAGAGGGGAGGGCAGGATGGGTCTGAGGAGGAAGAGGGAGCAGGAGAGGAGTTATGGGGCCCCCCAGCCCTAAGCGCTGGGGACAGAACTGTCCAGGGGATGGCGAGCTGTGAGGGACGGGGTGGGGGTAGAGGCACTGGCCAGCTCTGCCCACTGGGGTGGGAGGGGCCCCAGCCAGCTGCCTGGGCCATGCTGGAGGCCGCTCCCACTGGCGGGAGGGGCAGCCGCGAGGCCCCAGCGTCCGGCACGTCCAGCACGGGGAGAGGGTGGGGAGAGCCAGGCCGGCCCAGAGCCCGCGCCCACAGTCTGACTGCACAGAGCCGCCTCGCGGCACGGGCGCCAGGCCTGCCCCTCCTGGGACTGAGAAGCTGTGTTTGCCAGTGTATTTTGCTTTCGCTTCCAAGAGGAGCTCTGGGAAAACCTGTGGGTAAAATCAAATGCCAAACGTTGGACGTTGTTTCCTTTTCCTTTTCTCTCTCTGATTGTTTTAATTGTTCTGTGGTGGTTTTAATGGATTTGAGACCCTGGAGCGGCAGCTGCCTTTCTGATTTCCAGCTGCTTTTTGTGAATAATTTAAAAAGAAAAAAAAAAGAAACTTTACATTTTGGAGACAAACCTGTGTGAGTTTTTTATTGGTACAAACGTATTTAACACTAGGGGTTTTGTACAGTTTTTTGCCTTTTCTACTAGAAAACAATGTAAAGTGATTTCACAATGTGAAGAGAAAAAAAAATGCCACTATGACCAAACGCACAGTCTGTTCTGCAGCAGCAATGGGATTCAATCAACTTAAGTCGTGATTCAGCCGTAGAAACGCTTTTCCTTGACCTTGTTTGAGCTTTCCTTTCTTTCCTGTTTTGATTTGCAAAAGAAAATGTCTTTTTTGTGTGAACTTGTGTTGTACTCTGTAGAAAATTATGGATTTTACTTTAATGGTTTTTTAAAAAAGGTAAGAAAAGTTTTTGTCGCTTTTCTCACCCAATCACAGAGTTTGTGTAGTGGATTAAAAAAGAAAAAAATTGTTACAAGTTTGGAGCAAGGGAGTATGTGTTTCAAAGGACTCGCCTTCCTTTTTTGTGTGTTTTTTCTTTTGTCCCAATGGGAAACCTAAATCTGTTTTAATTGCACAGACACACGGACAAAAAGTCATTTTGTATCTGCCAAGTGTGGTACCTTCCTTTGTTTATTTGCTATTAAATTGTTTGAGAAGAACAGATGCTATCTTCCGCGTTGTTGATTGCTGGGGCCAGGGGGGCGGGTCATGGCAAGGGTGAGGCTGGGGGTGTTTCCAACGCGGGGCTCAGCTGCGCCCTGTGTCCCTGACACTTTGCAGCTCCACTGCAGGCTGGTGCCTGCCCGAGGACCTGGAGCTGTCCCTGCAGTCCTCCTCCGGCGCTGCAGACTTCCTGGAAGTGGCCGGCCCCCGCGAACCTCACAGTGAAGCAGTCTCTCCGCAGGGCTTGGCCGCTCTGCCCGGAGTGGTTCCTGTTCCGAAGTTCCCTCAGGTCGCCGCCCTCGGTGGTTCTGGGGCTACCTTGGGCCTCTGAGAAGCTTCAAGGTCACACTTGGCCATTGGCCCAGGGGTCTTGGGCCGCGTACTGAAGAGTGAGATCTTTCATGTCGCTGCCATCCTGACCCAGGACCCTGGCAATTCTTGGCCGCTCACAACCCACGCGTGGGGTGTATGCAGCAGTAGTTCCGGTAGGGTGCAGAACATGGTAGGACGGAGGGGCTGGGCGCAAGCTCCCAGGAGCAGCCCTTCCTACCTTTGTGCCTCGGCCTTGGTTACCCTGGGTGCTGAGAGCCTGGGAAGGGCAAGACGCACTTGAGTGACAAGCTGACCACTTGCTCAAGAGGCTCAAAACCAGAACCTGTGCTGCTTGAGAGAGCCTTAAAAGATCTTGGCAACCAGGGGTTGCCTTTTAATTGTTCTTATTCATTTATTTATTTATTTTTGAGACAGGATCTCGCTGTGCAGTTCAGGCTGACCTTGAGCTCACCTTATAGCCCAGGCTGGTCTCAAACTCGCAGTTATCCTCCTGCCTCAGCCTCCTGAGTGCTGGGGTTACAGACATGTGCCACCACGCCCAGCTTATTCTTTTAAAAAGTTTAAAACCAGAACTTCGTGTCAGTAACTAAGTGGCTGTCCTCACTGCTGTCCGCTGACTCGTCACAGTCGTGTGTGACACAGGCCACTTGTGTCCTGGCCCTTCCCTTGACCCTTCCCGGACCCCCGGGCCCCCCCCCCCCCCCCCCCCGGTTCTACAGAGACAGCGCTGGGTCAGACTCCAGGCTGCCTGGTGGAACCTGGTGTGTGCTCAGAGAAACAGATCATGCTCCAAAGCCCTTCCTGGGAGTTGCTCTGGCAGTCATGGTCCAATTAACCAGCTTGGACTCGGCCGTGCCCGGCACTTGGGCGGGGAGCCAGGGCTCTGTGACCGTGCGGATCCCGGGTGGTGCTGCAGTACCAGGAGTCCTACAGGGGGGCTGGCCGTGGCTCCACACAGAGCAGGGGTTTCTCACTCTCCACATGCAGGGTGGTTGGACGGCTTTTGGGACAGGGCATTACTATGTAGGATAGCCCAGGCTGGCCTCCAGCCCCTGATCTTCCTGCCTCAGCCTCCTGAGTGCTAGGATTACGAGTGTGCACCACCACACCCAGCTCCAATTTTAACTGTAATTTGGTGCCATTATTAAGTACATTCACAACGTTGGTATTACCATTGCCACTTAAATGTTTCAAATCAACTTAGAATGCGGTATTTTTTTTGGTACCAGTACTCAAACTCAGGTCCTTGCACTTGCCAGGCAGGTGCTTATGCCACTGAGCTACATCCCAGGCCCCACAATGCATTTTTAACTTCATCTTATTCAGACTTTTTTTCTTTTTTGGAGACAGGGTCTCTCTAGATAGTCTAGGCTGGTATGGAACTCACCACAATCCTCCTGCCTCAGCCTTTCAAGTACTAGGATTTCAGGTGTGCACTGCCGTTCCCTGCTCTGAACATTGATACTGGAGAAATCATGAGTTTGAGATCCTAATTTTGTTTGAAGTACATGGTAGAACCTGATAGGAAAATTGGACATTAAGTAGAATATGAGCATCTTTAATGCTTAAAGCCTGTTGCTTCTCCTTAGAATTTTCTTGGGGCCAGGCATGGTGGAACATGCCTGTAAGCCTAGCTCCCAGGAGGCTGAGGCAGGAGAATCATTCTGTGTTACATAGTGAGTTCAAGGCCAGCCTGATTCACATAGTGAGACCCTGTCTCAAAAAACAACGAAAAGAATTTACCTAGGGCTGGGGTTGTTACTTAGTAGGGGACACTTGCCTAGCATGGATAAGGCCCTAGTGCCACAAAAAATAAAATGTACTCAAAGACAATAGGTCAAAAGAACTTATTTTTTTAAAAATTAGACTTGCATCTTTATAATCATAAAGCTGTACACACACACACACACACACAGTACCAGGAATTGAACCCAGGGCCTGAACTAAACCCCAGCCCTAGTGTTTATTTTGAAACAAAGTCTTGCTGAAATTGCTAAGGCTGGGCTGGAAGTCAAGCCCTCCTGCCTCAGCCTCCCACGCAGTTTCCCTCTCCCAGTAGATGGCTCAGCACCTGCTGCTCTCCACATTCCTTTGTGCTCTCTCCAGGGACCTCCTCTGGCAGCACAAGGCCCAGTCCCCAGTGAGGAAGCACCACTTGTCCCTTCACCTGTGTGAATGCCAGGTACCATCGGATGACAGGTCCCTTTGGGAGAGGCAGCCAGCTTTGCCTGGCACCTCTGCCCTTTCCAAGCAGGAGTCGGGCCCAGCCCGGCCTGCAGAGCGCCACTTCCTTGGTGCCCTGCCTTTGCTGGAAAAGGCTCCTGTGGGGGGCAGGCTCTTGTCACTCTGGGCTGGGGACTGGAGCTGGCTGCAGTGGGGGGCCCTCCTGACTCTGGGAGCCCCTCCCTGGGCTGTGCCTCCCGGATACACAGGGTGTGGGAGTCCTGCTGGTTCGAAGTCAGTTGAGCTGTGTGAAGCACACTGCTCACTGATTGCTGCACTGGTGTAACTACCGTCAGCTCAATCTTCAAACACTTTCGTCTCCCGGAAAAGAACCCTGTACTCATGAGCAGTCGCCCCCTCTTCGGCCCTGGCCACCAGTGATCCTGGTCGCTGTGCTCTCCTGCACGTTTCATGTAAGCGCTCATCTCGGGCGTTGGCGCACCCTCATCCTGAGCGTTTTCTCCTCCCTCCCCCGAGGAAAATGGCCTGCGAGGTCCTCCGGAGAGCTTGTCGCCCCCACCCATCCTGTGCTGCAGCTGCTCCATCCCGACCAGCTCCCCCAGCCCTGCCTGCCCACCTGCCTGCCGACTCCCTCCGTCTGGGTCTGCAGCTGCACACCTGCGCTGCTGCGGACAGTTCTGCTTCAGCCGCTGCGCAGCTATTTCTTTACCTGGGACCCACCAGCCTCATTTGAAGTACTCAAAAGCTACTCGAACACATTGCTACTGTGAACAGCACCACCATGGAATGGTCCCGTCACTGCGTCTGTGGTCAGCACTTTGCAAAGTTACTCTGCTTTAAAAAAAAAAAGCCAGTCATGATGGTGCACACCTGTAATCCCAGCACTTGAGGGAAGCTGAGGCAGGAGGATCATTCTGAGTTTGAGACCAGCCTGGGCTACAAAGTGAGTTCAAGACCAGCCTGAACTGTATAGTGAGACCCTGTCTCAGAAAAAAAAAAAAAGTTTTGCTTTAAGAAAACAAAATTAAGCTGAGTGTGGTAGGATCTCTATAAGCCTGTGCTCTGGAGGCACAGGTAGGAGGATCCATGCAAGTTCAAGGCCAGCCTGAGCTACATAGATTCTATCTGAGAAAAATAACAAAATTAAGCTAGGCGTGGCAGCACATGCCTATAACCCTAGTACTCTAGGAGATTGAGGCAAGAGGATCACAAATTCAAGCCCTACCTAAGCAATTCAAACTGTCTCAAAAAAAAAAAGATTTGTGGCTCAACATGGTGGCATATGCTTATAATCCCAGCTCTTGGGGATTACTGCTGGGGCAGTTTGATAACAAGTTTGAGTCCAGACTGGGCAATTGAGCAAGACCCCGTCTCAAAACATTTTCGAGAAGGTTGGGGATGTAGCTCAGTCTGAAAGCCCTGGGTTCAAACCCATGTATCACAAGAAAAGAAAAAAAAAGTTAATATAAGTGAGGGCTGAGGATTTAGCTCAGTGGCACAGTGCCTGCCTAGCAACGTAAGGTCCTGAGTTCGATTTCCAGTATCCAAAAAACAAAGACACCATGAGTGGGTCCCCATCCCTCAGCCCGCTGACAAACTGATGGGTAATGTATTTGCAGGGTTTCTCTGGTACACACCATGCGGAAGAGCGCAGCCTGTTCTTTGCAGGTACTGTCCTGGGCGTGCGTCCATCTGGGAGCCCTGGCATCTGCTGCTTCCGTTCTTAGAGGCCACGTAGTGTTTCATGGCTTATCAGCCTGTTGAGCTCAGGGTATTTCTAGTTTTTTCACTTGTGTAAATAATAGCCAATTAAGAGGCATTGGTTTGGGGCTGAGGATTTAGCTCAGCGGCACAGCGCCTGCCTGGCAAGCTCAAGGTCATGAGTTCGATTTCCGGTACTGGAAAAATAAATAAATAAATAAAATAAAATTTCATTTTAGGGGCTAGGGATTTAGCTCAGCGGTACAATGCCTGCCTGGCAAGCGTAAGGTCGTGAGTTTGATCCCCGGCACCAGAAAAAATAAAAATAAAAAAAATAAAAAAGCATTACTTCAACATTCTGAGTAGTGGGTTAACTAATGGTCAACATGTAATGCCTAGCGGAACTGAATCAGCGGGTGCTGGGCGTGGAGGGCCACCTGAGGACTGTGGCCCACAGCATAAAAGCAGAGCTGGAGGGGGAGATGGTGCGCTGCTGATTCCCTGGAGGAGCTTGTCATGCTGATGTGAGCCTGATGTGAGCTCAGCTGTTTTCTTCGTCAGAGGAGCTCGGGTCCTCGCTGTCCCTGAGGATGGCTGCGGTTCTCTTCGCGGGAGCTCTGGTCCTTACCTTCAGCGTCCTTCCTGGCTCCAGCGCAGATCCCCCAGCCTGCTGGCACAGATCCTTGACTCCACTGGTGCAGACTTTGTAGCTTCCACCACTGACCTTTGGGCCTTCCCGGCGCAGGTCCTTGGTACAGACTTGCATGAGACATTGTCCTG